ACAGGCTACTCAGACACCTCAGTCGGCTACGCAATCTCAGTTCTCGCCCACCATACGCCAGCAAACGCCGATGGCGGCCGCTGCAGCATCGCCATCGCTTGGTGGGCAGGCTGCGCATCAGCTCGGTGGCACCCCAATGGTACCTACCGCTTCGAACCAGGCCATCAACAGTCCTGCTCGCCCGCCATCTGCCGTCTCTAATCACCAGAACATGATGCGCTCCGTCAGTCAGCAGCAGAATTTGAGTCGCACAGGCACACCGCACATCGTACAAGGAACGCCTGTAATGAATGCCTCGATGCCGAATCGCAACATGACGCCGACCCCGAGTCGCATGGGCCAGGGCAGCCCATCCATGGCCATGCAAGGGCAAACGCCAATGATGATGCAGACACCTCAGCCAGGTCAGAACATGACGCCTGAACAGGCTCAGCAGTTCCAACAACAGCGTCTGCAGCAGCAACTTCGCATGCAGCAAATGCAGCAAACAGGATCGCCCGGTAACCAGCAGCAACAGTTTCAGCAGCTGGCATTCTCAAAGGCTACGCAGCAAATCCAGACTCAAGGAGTTCCGCAAGGCCAGAATCCGCAGACATACCGCAACCAGCTCGCGCAGCACTATTTCCGCCAGTTGACCCAAAATCAGCAGCAAAGCCAACAGCAGATGGCTATGCAAAATATGTCACCTGGAGCCGGCATGCAGCAGAATGGCATGCCCAATAACCAAGGCAACATGACTTTTGCTAACCTGAATCTCCAGCAGATGCGCGCGCGCTATCAGCAGCACAAGCAGACGGTCATGCAGAATTACGGCCAGAACATTCCTCCCCAGGTCATGCAACAAATCCATCAGATGGAAATGCAAATCAAGCAGCGAGAGCAGCGTGAACAACAGATGCAGATGGCACACATGCAGAACAACATGGGCGGCCAGATGAACGGCATGCAAAACGGCAACACGCCCAACCCCATGCAGATGCAACAGTACCAGCAGATGCTCCAACAACAACGCGCAAACGCCGCAAACAATTCTCGACTCCTACAAATGCGACAACAAGCCATGGCAAGCGGTGGCCAACTGCCTCAGGGCATGATGGGCAACATGAATACCATGAACAGCATGCAAGGCGGCGGCATGCAGGGCATGAACATGGGTAACATGGGCAACATGGGTCAGGGTATGAACATGGCGCAAATGAACCAGATGAATGGAGGCATGGGCGGCATGCAGGGTGGACAGATGAACGGTGGCATGCAGGGTATGCAAGGAATGCAGCCCATGAACCAACAGCAGATGACCCAGATGATGATGATGCGTCAAGCTCAGCAACAAGCCCAAAGAATGGGACAGCAGGGTGGACAGCAAGGCGGGGATATGGGATGGACCGGGTAGTCCCCTTACCCATCTCCTCCCTCCTCTCTTTGAGCTTGTTATTATTATCCTGTCTCCTTTCCGTCTTAGGCTGCATCATCATCATCATCATCACAGACATTTGGGTCGACAAGCTGTGGGACAAAAAGGTGTTTTGGGCGCGGGAAAAGTGTTGATGTTTATTCTTCAAAAGATACCCCCGGTGTTGGGATGGTTACTTATCTTGTTACATTACGATAATCACGGTCGGCATGTTTGGGGTGCATTTGGGGACAACGGATTGGCATAATTGGGTGGGTCTTTTGGACTTGTCGTTTTTATTCATCTGTAAGACTTGTATCAAACATTCCATACATTATTATGACCTTGGCGGCCTCTGTCTGACGTGATTTCCACAGATAGTCTTGGTATGCTCATACTGTGAAGCCCCGTTTGTATCTTGCATCTTGCATCCTTACTTCTCACTGACAAGTTTAGCATACTCATGCTGTACACCCTTGGTTATCACCTGCGTCTCATGTCCATTCAGTTCTTCCCCTTGCCTTTGCCCTTTGCCTTCCCCTTCTTCCCACCAACCTTGGCGGCTTTCTTCTCCTCCACCTTCCGCTTTCCGATAACCTCCCCGTTCGCCGTCTCATACCCGTGTGAAAACTTGTATACACAATCCCCACACGCTGCCGCGCCCCCTAAGGGACAAGCAAAGAAGTACAAGCGTACGTCCTTGATGCAAAAGTCGCAGGTGGCAGTGCCATCGATCCGGTGCCAGCCTAAATCCACCAACTCGAATTTGGCATCAGGCGCTGCATCATCAGCTGCCTTTACGTCTACATGAAGCTTTCGCGCCCACATGTGGGCCAGGCGGACGCGGCGTTGGACACGCTGAACTTCCGCATCGGCAGTGTTGGCGAAGTGAGGCTCCATGTATGTTCGAACCATCAGCTCTTCCGCCTGGCGTACCTTCTGCTCTGTGAGCTTTTGTTGTGCCTCCAGTGCGGCGAGATACTCCTGCGCCTTTCGCTCTTGCTCTAGACGATGCTGCTCTCTGACTATCGCTTCACGCGCTTCTGCTTCCTTTTGGCGCTGTTCACGACGCTGTTTTTGCCTAGTCTCCTCTTCTTCTTCCCATTTCCGCAACCACTCCTCAGCTGCCCTAGCTCGCTCCTTCTCGGCACGCTCTGCTGCTTGGCGCGATCGCTCTTCCGCGAGCCTCACCTTCCTTTCTCTTGCGATTCGCTCAGCTTCAGCCCGAGCCTCTTCCTCTGCTTTGCGTCGTCTCTCCTCTTCCTCGCGCCTTTGCTCCCTTTGTACACGCGCTTCTTCTTTCTCAGCATCTAGACGTTCGATCTCTTCCTGTAGCTTGTGTTTGGCATAAGCGCAACGGTACTCTTCCCATTCCTCCAGTATGCCTTCGTATAGCGCATCGTATTCGTCTCGTGAACTAGGGTATCTGAGTATCTCAAACGCTTCGTTCACCTATTTCTCATTAGTCTCCTCATCGCTGGGCTTCGCGGGTGAGTGATCTTACGCGTCTGAACTCGATAGCATCTACAGTCTGACCTGGTGCTTTCTTGTCGGGATGATGCTGCAGCGCTAATCTGTAGTATGCTGCCTTGACGTCTGTTACTGGGGCGTATGGATCCACACCTAAGTCGAAGTAACAGTCCGCCTTCTCGGGCTCTACAGGCTTGTAGTTGGGCATCTTTGTAGATTTGGCTCTCACTTATGGTGGTGCTCTTTAGCGCGTCGGGCGTCGGCTTTGTGCGCGTTGTCGGGAAGCTACAATTGCTGTACAATGAATGCGACGCGATAGAATGAGGAAGAAACGATAGACGTAATAGCGCTTGCGAAAGCTTCGCAATCGCTTCGTGAGTGGTGAAGAACTGCACGGGGTGAAGACGCTTAGGGAAGGAAGGTACGACCAGGCAGGAGCGACGGGGTGTGCCGCGCACCGAAGTGAGAGAAAGAGGTGGGAGGGCAAATTCTCCTCTGAGAATATCTGTATTCGATTACCGAACGCTCAACTATTTCCGATACCACATCCTCGTCGTCTTCGTACGTCTAATCTTTTTCTGCAACTGAAACACACCATACAACAACGCCTCAGCCGTCGGAGGACACCCCGGCACATAAACATCCACAGGAATAATTCTATCAACGCCCCTCACCACACTATAACTATAATGATAGTACCCGCCACCATTCGCACAACTTCCCATACTAATCACCCACCTCGGCTCAGGCATCTGATCATAGCACTGCCGAACAGCAGGAGCCATTTTGTTCGTGACTGTGCCTGCGACGATCATTACATCTGCTTGGCGAGGGGATGCGCGAAAGATGATGCCTAGTCGGTCTTGGTCGTAGCGAGGCATGGAGCAATGCATCATTTCTAGGGCGCAGCAGGCGAGGCCGAAGCTCAGTGGGTGGATGGAGCTTTGTCGGACCCAGTTGAGTATTTGATCTGTGGTCGTTCTGGAGTCTGTCAGGAAGTGTTTGGATATGTCTGGGAGAGTGTGGCTTACAGGACGTGTTCGACAACACCCCTGGGTTTGACGATGGCTGATGGGAGGAGTGTGTCGCTGCGCTGATCGTCTCGTTCTATGGTCTTGTGACTGGGGGAGCTGGTAGACATGCTACGACATGCTGTATGACTAAGTCGAAGATGTATGGGGTGAGGTCTTAACGTAAATGCTGGGCACTGTCAGTTTGGTTCATTCGAGATGGAAGGAGTGAGATATTACCGAATGCGCAGTAGCTTCTTCGGCTTACGAACGCTCGTATACTCGACATGACGATAGGCAGTATCTGACAGAAACAAACTCATTCTTGCAACAGGAGTGTTGATACACGACGGTATAGGGAGAGCATCGATGCTGTGTCACGTGGTCGGCCCTTTGCGGTAAGGCCGCCGCAGTTAAAGCCCACATCAGCGGAAAGCCCACATTCTGAAAACCCACATTCAGCCCTGGAAAGCCCACATCATGGGCCGCCGCGTCACCAATCACGGACAAGTCAATGCCAGACGCTATCGAGACGGACCTGGGTATCACATCCCATAAATGTAGCACGTGCGGCAAATTCTTCTCGAGCAACAGTCACTTGCGACGACACGAGTCGGCTCGTAAGTTGACCATCCGAGTGTTATCCGGAGCTTATTTGACGCCAACCAGATACCCGCGATCGTCTAAACACCTGCAGCTTCTGTAATCGCACGTTCGTCCGTCAGTAGGTTTTCGCCTGTGTCGGGTAAGCTCGTGACACCTTGACATTGACATTGCTTAGCGATGTCCTTAGGAGACACTCAAAGTCATGCCGAAAACGAGGCGAACACGATGAGATAGCCTCTGCCAAGCCAGGACGACGAAGCCGGCTCAGAACGATCGGAAACCACGCACACCTGTTACGCGAAGATGCTCATGATACCAGTACCAGTCATTTGAGCCGCGACACCACGGCTGTAGAGGAAAACGCCCAGAGTCTTCCTCGCTATCCCATCACATTCCTATATAGTTACACAGACCCTCGCCGCGAGTCGATACTCAATGCTTTCATTAACGATCCATTGACTGTACAGTCGTCCAAGCATCAAGAAACCCACGACGCAGACCATCAGCTTCTCGACAGGGACATGGCACTCTTCGGCATCTTCTCAGACTTCTTCATGAATGTCGACGTAGACATCTGTGCTTCAATACCACCAGCACCGGGACGACCCCGGACGACCGCGCTTCTCCAGCCTAGGATCGACGAGCTATGTTCTCAGCTCTTCATATACAGCCAAACATGTCGAACGGCCCACTTCAACCCCGAAGGCGCTTTCCCCGTAGTTGCCGCAAAAGCAGTCTTCACAGCAGAAAACTTCGAAGAGTGTATCTCGGCTTATTTCAGCGTCTTTCACCCCCAACAGCCACTCATCCACTGGCCGACATTCGATATGCACAAAGTTCCGCTCCCCTTGTTACTCGCTGTCGCCTTTGCTGGATCAGTACATTGCACACCCACAGACGGCGCCTTGTCATCCCGCTCCTTCTTCGATCTAAGCGAAGACTTCATCTTCGTGCATCTACGCAACGTAGTCGCGACACCCAATCCCAGACACGATCCCCGCGCTCTGGAAGCAGTCCAAGCCGCATCACTCATAGTAGCTCTCCAGAGTAGTTTCAACAACGAAGCAACACGTAGCCGAGTCGGAATCTCTCGACACCCTGAAATCATCGCTGCGATGCGATCGCTCAAGTTGCTGGAACCCACAGTCACGGTGAGACGTCAAAACCAGGTACCGGAGTGGAATGCGTTCATAGCCGAGGAATCTAGAGTGAGAGCTGTGAACTTCATCTTTGCTATGGATTGCATGGCTACCTTTTTCTTCAGCTCGGTTCCCAAGATTGCTATTGCGGAGGTCTCGCAGACGCTTCCGTGCAATGATGTGCTTTATGATGCGGCTACAGAGGAAGATTACGCTCGTTTACGTGCACAGTCGAAACGCCTGGCGAGACCGAAACCTAGCATCAAGCAACTGGTTTCTGCGTTGATGAGCGAGGACTGGTCTGATGAGCAGAAGAGTCCCCTTATCGATGTCCTTGAACATCGACTTCTCATGATTTGCATATTCGGTAGGTTTACCCATCTGCATCTCAGCCTTTGTGGCCTCAAGCTGATATATCTCTGCAGCGTTACATTCCATCGTATTCATATCTCGAGCCGCTCTTTTGACTCCGATGGTACACGCTACTCTACTCCGTGCGACGAAGCGCTGGAAAGAGCTGTGGGATGCTCTACACGCGGAACGTGAAGCAGAGGAACAAAGACTACTAGGCTTTGTCAAGTATGGACTAGAGATATGGTGGGTCACATGTAAAGTTCTTGAACTGGCACATACCGGCGATGTACAGAGTCGCTACATGGCGCTCGCTCCGACAGACTCTTTGGTCGAACTGCATGACTTCTTGAAGCGATATGCGAATTGTGTGGACAGGTAAAAATGGATAGCTTGAAACTCTAAAGGTTCATCCGTGAGAATAGCACACCAATACCCTTCTCACTCTCTCCCATCCTCCCCTCCCATCATCTATCTCCCTAAACAAAAACCAGCGCACCATCCCTATTACTAATCCTCTCATCAAGATTAACCTCCCTCATCCTCCAATGCCCCTGGTACTCCAACTCCCCCTCCAACCTCTGCCCCCCATCCGCCAACCTCATCCCCCTAGCCGAACTCCCAAACCCACCACCCCCACGACTGCTATTCCCATCCGGGACCTTAAGATTCTGGCCCGGCCAAATCTGGTCTGGATTGGTAATATTGTTGTGGCGAGCAAGATCCTCGTAGGAGCAGTGCGAGAAGCGTGATGCAATGGCACGGAGCGTGTCGCCTTGTTGGACAGTATACGTGTTTTCGCTGCCACCGCCGCTGCTGGAGTTTGAGCCTCCGGACCAGCGGAAACTGCCGCCGTCGTTTTCGAGGATGCGGTTCAGGGATATGGAGGAGGATTGGTAGGAGCCGTCTGCGCGGCGGCACTGGGCGTGCAGTGTGTAGTCGCCATGAGCGTCGAGGCGGATGTCGCGCGAGGAGGCGCTGAAGTTGCCGCCGAAGTCGCCTTGGGAGCGCTGGTTGTTGGTGTCTTGGTGGTGTTGGATGGGAGGGGGACCTTGGTGTTGCTGTTGGCCGTATTTCTTGCGCTTTTCTTCCTCTTCTTCTTGCTTCTTCTTTTCTTTGCGCTCGTCCCACTTTTCTTCTACCGCGTCTTGGCCTTTGTGGCCTGCGAAGGCTCCTGCGAGGGCGCCGATTACCGTGCCGGCTACGCCGTGGCCGGCTTTTCCACCGAGGGCGTGGCCACCGTAGCCTCCGGCTGCTGCACCCGCGAGACCGCCCATGACACCACGGTCACCTTCTGGGTCGCCCTCGCCGCCGTATTGGTTCTGATGACCTTGTTTCATCGAGTTGCGACCGGAGTTGGATGAATGGGCTGCGGCAGAAGGGAGTTGTTGGTATTGAGGAGGCGCTGCGTCGTAACCTCCTTGTTGACCGTAGGCTTGAGGGCCTCCTTGACCACCGTAATATGCGCTGGCAGCACCATGGGGCTGTTGTTGGTGGTGATGAGGCTGCTGGTGTCCACCGCCGCCATTGTAATTGTCTTGTCCGTAGCCGCCCTGTTGTCCATATCCATCCTGTTGTTGGTACCCGCCTTGTTGTCCGTATCCGCCTTGGTTGTAGCCGGAGCCGTCGTATCCAGACATGATGTTGTGTACGAAGGAATAAACTTAGATTCTGATAACTAGGTTACAATAGGTAAGGTTGAGTGTATCGCGATTTGACTTGGAGATCGAAATTCAGCGGGAGCGGGAGGGTTATTTAAAGTTGAAGGTAAGGTTCTCGACAACGTCACACTTGGACAAGCACGATCCCCGCCGAAGTAGCACCTTCTTATTTATACACACCCATGACACAATAAGATGCAAGTCGCGACTGCAGTGAATCAGCCACACTGTCGTCACCGCCACTTTTCGGCGCCAATGTGGGGATGCATTGTCTATTGAGTTGGCCGAGGGTCCACTTCACGTGGTGTCGGCCAATCATTGGCGTGCACGGATAGGTCGGCGGTGTGCCCCCTGGCCGACTAAGCCACACATCGAGAGCGTAGGACCGCGATTACGTGGACGTCCGAACAAAGGAAGTGGGGGGAGTGACGACTTGAGTGGGCTTAGAGGTGATGAGTGAAGGTCTGGATCAGTACCCTGATCAACACCTGAGGCTTAGAGATCTACCCTTGTTCCCGATCAGTAAACACCAAGAAGACCAGTAGTTGCAGTGCGCGAGCAGATGAAGAAAATAAGGAGAATAGACGAACTTTTGGTAGAGGATATGCTACTGTTATACACAAAGCTACGTTGAATATCTACAAAGACCCAGACACGCTAACAAATGCATCGCTCATAAAACGCCGATCAGAGATTCAAGGAGAGACATGACAAGTATGAGACGGTGACATATTGGACAAGAAGTAAAGCATTAAGTAGGAGGTATTTACAAAGAAGTGAACAATGCGGATAATAAGAAAGGTAATGTTTTGGTATAGTTATGTGAGTTCTCGACTGGGTAGTAGACGAGAGAGATGATGTACAATGAACCCGGGTGTGGCTTGCCCAAGGTGTTCGAGCGTAAGCGTCGTGCACGATGCGGTGCGATAGTAGGCGATGAACAAGGAATTTGTTAAGCGTAACGTTGCCAACAGTATCGTACATTGACCAAGGCCTCTTAGTATGTGAAGGCCTCCTCAATGAAATCAACGCTACCTTGCGTAAGGAACGGTCGAACCGCATGTCTTACGCCATCTGCCATACCGCCCGACGCGCACACTGTGACAGCCATAGCACCGACACGGTTCTTGACCTCTTCTTCGATCAAGGCCGCGTGTTGCGGACGACCACTGTACATCTTGACTGTCTCACTGCTGCTCTCAACGCGACCCTTGGGTCTTGAGATGAAAAGCTTGATGCGGAGACATTGCTTGCGACCCTTCATGCGGAGGACCTCGTCCATCCAGGGCCGTACCCACTCCAGGCAGTCGGATGTGGGGACTGTCCAGATGAGGACTATTCTTTGTGTTGCTGTGGTTCCGTTGTTGTAGCCATTGACGAGGTGCTTCAGGTACATGACTTGGTGAGTGATACCTACACCACCGGCAAATAGAACTGCGGTGCCGTAGGAGTCTAGGCTGTGGTGGCCGCCATATGGACCCTCGATAAAACCGAAGGTGGTGAACTGCTCGTTGGGGCTCTTGCAGGCCTTCTCGTACATGTGACGGGTAAGTCCAGTACGCGCACGGCAGACCAAGCTGATTTGCTTTGACTTTTGGGGACGGCCATGCATCGCAAGGACATCGCCTTCGAGCATGGGCAGTGTCATCTCCTTGGAATCTGGGGTGAGTGTTGCAGCCCACGCGACAGAGAAGGGATGCGAAGACCAGAGGGAGAGAGCTGGCATCCACATGTGCACGTGGCATCCTGGACGAGGAGTCCACTCGCGGACCATGTTGATGGTCAGGCGAACGGCCTCTCCGGGCATGGCCTCGACGGTGATTGATGATCTTTGCCTGAGGCCGATGCCGTAGTAGAGGATTGAGGCCCATCGGCAGGCCCACTCGGCAGCCCAGAAGAAGAAGACCAGGTGCATCCAGGGGACTTGCGGGAGACTGTGCAGCTCCAGATGCTTGTAGAGACCGAGAAGCGCAGCGATGACGCAGACACGGTGAATGTTGAGGAAGGTCTCGTAGAAAGCGTGGCGGAATGGCGACCATGCCTGGATACCAAGGAAGGTAAAGGCAACAGTTCCAACCATACCCCAGCCGTACGAGCCCTCAGTGTGGAGAGCAGCTGTAACGGCAGGCCATCCTGCTGCGAGCTTGGTGTTGTACAACCAGGCAGCAGTGTGAACGATGGCTTCCGCAATGGTGATTCGCGCAGCCCAGCGATGGAACAGGTTGAAGTCATCGTACGAGACTTGGAGGAGGGTGATGAGTGGGTTGTTGCGGAGGGCGAAGAGAACAGTGGGGATGAGGTTGAGAGCAGCGAGTGTTCCGGAGCGTCCACGGAGCGCGGCGAGGGTCTCCTTGTGGTCGAGCACCTTGTAGGGGAGAGCCACACACCAGGCGACGTTCAGGGCTACGTAGATGACCAACATGATGGTGTGCCATCTGCCAGGCAGCGTTCCGTTGTCGATGGCGCTGCTGATCTGAAACTGAGCGTTGTGCTTCTTCTTCCATAGGGGTGCCATCAGGACATGGCGGTTGAGCCACGGCCACCAGCCTGTCCGGTTGACTTCCCAGTACTTTTGCTTTGGGTTTCCCATGGCGCTCAGATGACGGCTGTGTTTCCACCACATGTTTGATATCCGCAGGAGAAGGAGGATGCCGGAGATACCTATTAGCAGGTACAGGAAGGTGTCGACCCACATGTAGTTGCCGACTTGGTCGACACCCTCCAGACCGTACGAGTATTTGAGATCATCGAACTCAGCGGCGTCCCAGTCTGAGAGGAAGTGGCGCTTGGTGATTGGCGCGGTCGGTTGGGCGCCACGGAGGCGGAGGAGATATCTTGTGAGAGACATGTCTCGGGTATTGTGTTCGGTTGTTGAGTAGTACAGGTCGCTCGCGAGTCGGTGCTCACGAGGGTTGCTAGCTGCTGGTTCTCGGGTGTGCGAGGCTGTGTGATGCGACGCGATCGGTGAATTGTGTTGCGCACTACCAGGTGCTGTTTTCGGTGACGGTAGGTTCTTGAAGCAGGAGTAATGGCGCGACGTCGTTGTCAATGGACCTATATCCCACGCGCGCTTAACGAAGCGGCAGATGTTGACAGTGTGGGGCGAGGTTGGGTCGTGGTCACCGTGAATACATCACAATGTGTCGTGAAGGAGCCGGTGTGTAGGCACAAAGATTGAGAGAACCGACAGTGCGCTGCACGTCGAGGTGGTGAATGGGGTGGTGGTGTTGAAGACGAGAAGCGGTCCAGTCCGGTGGAATTAGTCGACAGAAGCGTGAGGCGGCGATTGCGATGTGCAGTATCGATAGCGATAGTAGCGACGGTGAAGGCGAATAGGGCCGAGGAAATTGAAAGCGACGTCAATAGACTTTGTCTTCACTAGGGGCTGAAGACGGGAAATAGGGGACTAGAAACCGGCTCGAAGACAGCGTGAGAAGCGAATGTATGTTGGTGTCCTATGTTGCCGTAGCGAGTGAGCAACAGTTGGACAAGAAACGAAGGTATGGAAACGACACGACAAGGGACGGCGAGCGTGAGGTCAGAGGGGGAGCGAGGGAAACAGTGGATATGAAGTTCGCAACATGGGAGGGTTGATGAGGGCCTGGCAGGGGTTGGGAATCGGAACAGGCGGATGATTGGCTCCGCTGCGCCCGGACAGTTTAGGCGCTGAAACGACACGAAGGAAGCCGGCCACTCACATTGGCGTGCCTGGATGCGCCAT